GTTTGGATCTAACTAAAAGCCTAATTAAAGACATGCCTTATCTCCAGGATATGAAGGATCGGCCCCCATTCGAATCAAAAGTGATGCCACTTGGTGATCCACAGTATCATTAGCCGCACATCTCATAAGGGGAGTACGATCATTATTGTCGCAGACGTCGATCTAAAAGTAAGCCAGAAGTTTTGAAACGATGCTGCTCTGTTCTATGAACTTTTGAACAGCCTCTACCTCTTTGACAACGGAGTTGTGTTTCAGAAGCTCCTCTACCATTCGCAGATTACAATTCGCTGCTGCTTCATGTAAGCATGTGGAATCGTTCCTATTCATGATAGTGGGATCAGCTCCCATATCCAGAAGCTTCTTTACAAGGGCTAGTCTTCCTCTTCGGACAGCAATAAATATAGCAGTTTCCTCATCTAAAAAGGAGAATGCCATAATTTTTGGAGTAAGTAAACTAAATTATATTTCACTTACCATCATCTTGCATGTTCAGATCACCTCCGGCATTCAAAATCTTTGCCGCTTCTTCAACGAGCTGGCTTTCAGTCTTTTCCGAGTTGTCACACAACATCATCAATGCCGTTCTTCCAAAAGGACCGCGTACGTTTACTGTTGACTGGTCGACTTCTATAGGTACGCTGGATGAGGCTTGCTCATGGAGGAGTGTTGGAGGTGGGTGCACTTTTTTCGTGGGCTTCAGTTCCACTCTGGGATATCTGTAGTAGTGCAATATTTGACAGTGATAATTTTTTGAACTTCTGTACAGCTTACTTGTGAGAGTGCAAAGCAGAGGCGAACGGGTCGGTGTCATAAAAGTTCATGTTTTCTAAACGAGGACGTTTTGACCCAAATAAATGATCAGAGTAAAATCCAGCACGCAGCATCTGTTCACTTTGGGATAGGGAAGCAAGCTTATCTAAAAAATGAATTTCAAAACTAAGAGAACATTAGTAAGTTAATGAAACTTGCTCTGAGCTTCGGTAGGTGGAATCCAACAGGGGGCTTTGATAGTACGACGCTTCCTTGTTCTTTGTTGTAGCACGAAAACACTAGCAATAACGATTAAAATAGCGAAACAGCCGATGATAAATGCCCAATATCCGTCAGAGTGCGGAAGAGATACGGTAGAATCTGGATGTCGAGCAATCGCTTCGTAGATGGGCATGCCCATCTCTGACAGGTCCTAAAAAAGAATATTTATTTGCTATTTTAAAATCTGTGACATGATTTTCATTACCTTCTTAGCGCTAGCTGCACCAAGGTAGTTGGCAACAGTGTCCACGTCACTGAAGCAGTCACCGTGACAGCCGGAAACGTCGACTTCAATCCAAACCAACACACCAACATTCGCAACAGAACGTTTCAGACGAATTTCGCCTCCGAATTGTACGAACAAATGCTGTAAACATTCATTTAGCTATCTGATTTTGTTAAATGGAAATTCCCACGATTGTGGGAAAAGGCATTTACTTGATCTCTAGGAAGAGCGATTCGCTTGGGAGACGGTTTGCCATTCCAGTGAAAAACGAGTGGTCCGTCGTCGTCAGTCTTAATTCGAACTGACGCACGCAGTTTTTGACTTAGAGTAAGAAGGAACATCCCCACATGCTTTGTGAATTGTTCTGGAGTAGTTAAGACGACTAGAGATATGTCTCCAGAAAGCTAAAATATGTTCTTCAGCAGAAAAAAAAACAAAGAAGAGTTTAGCTCTGACCAACCGCAGCATGTTTTTTCGTAGAGCAATCGCCTCCAT